ATATCAATTTCTGGTAATTTGGCATTAATTTCATTGTATGACGCACTAATCCTGGCCAGAGGTTGATGCAGTCCTAGGTTTGTTCTGCAGCGCGGTAAGCTAAATGTTCTAGTTATAGGGTGTCGAGGATAATTTAGAGGTACCTTTAATAGGCATATGCATTAATATTGTATTGTATTTAATATTTCTTATATATGTTATAATGCAATATGCTGTTGGTGTTCCTTTATATAAATAAATAAATATTCTTATCATTTATTATATAAGTAGGTAGGTATTATATGTATTTATAGTGTATGTATTTATGTAATATTTTATTATATATTTTAATATTTTATTTAACTGTATATTTGTTTATGTATTAATAGTTGTAGCACTTCAGCTGCCCGCTAACGACATGCTTTCTTACTGTACTGGGTTGACTGGAAGAGATCTCTGTCAGAGATAAGTGCACCCTTGCTCACAACATATATAAATACATTATTTTATATGTAACTTACAAGTGCAATAAAGAATATATATCATTTTTAAATTTTTTATTAACGTTTTTGGCCAAATATTTTCTGTCTTTGTCGCATATATATAGTCTGTCTCTATTTTACGTACCGCTAGCGACTTCGATTTCACCCACAGCGTTGGTATTGACAATTGTGGATGTGACGGAAACGCCGACAGCTATCTATTGGAGTTTGATGCTCGGTTGGCTCCATTACGAAGCCTACTGATCCGCGGATATTGGATCTTCCAACGAAGCCCAATCCCTGATATCTGCAGTACATTTGCAGGTATACTCTGGTATAGTTTGTTTCACTAGAACAGGGGAAGCCAACCGGTCGATCGCGACTATTAGTCCAGTCGATAGTGGCAAGGCGGAAAATATAATATTTTGCTAATCTAGCGGAGGATGCTCAGACGCAATGCTCGCACTAATATAAATAAGTAATTACTAAGAATAATTTGCAGTTTTATGTTTTGCCTCTTAATAAAATAAAAAAAAACCACAATACTACATGATTGTGTACTGAACTATGTTGTTCCACTTGAGATTTCAAGAAGTATATATTACTCCTCTCCATCCAAAGGTTGCCTGGAAGAGATCGCTTTTAGCGATAATGTCCCCCATTGTTCTCTCATTGTGATTATTTCTTGCAATTGTTTATATTTATAATAAGTTTACTATTGTAATCTTTTGGAGGAAACAATAAAGAATATCTATCTATCAATGTAATTAGTAGATCGTATAGGGTTTCGTTAGTAAAGAGTAGATCCTTGGTGTAGTCATGTCGGCCACTCCTAATGTAATGTAATGTAACGTAATGTAATGTAATGTAATGTAATGTAATGTAATGTAACGTAATGTAACGTAATGTAATGTAATGTAAGTAGGACTCTATTTTCCGTGCTTAACCTCTCATTTGGTCGGCCACCTCTAATGAAAAGTTATATTTTGTAGTAACTATCACTGAAACATTTTCTAAAAGATTATAACAAATCGAATACATCCAATCGATTGATCGATAATTTATTTGTACTGCTGTTGCTTCTAAACATGAGCAGACTCGTCTTATGGTCGGAACAATTATTCGTTTATTTACATTTTCATTCAATACTATTGAAAGAGACTACATTTTTTTTTATACAACTTGGAATATCCTACAAGTTAACGGCTCACCTGATAGAAAGTGTTAACCGTCGCCTATAGACATGAGCAGTAGTACTATGGACATAACAGAGTATACTGTTTCGCCCATGATATCCCCCATGCGTTGCCATTCCTGAGGACTCAGGTGTTATTCCTCTGTACCCTGTAAATTCACTGTCATATCCCACCCTTCCAACCGAAACAGCCAAGCAACACAGAAGTACCTAAGCAAATTACTTTTGTACAGTCTCCCTCTAGTAGCTTCTTCCCATCAGAAAATTTACCTTCCTAACAATAAAAAATTAAACTCTTTTTTTTCGCTACATATTTATCGCAACTTTTAAAAATGTTTAAAAAATATTTTCTGAAAAAAAAACTAGATAAAAAACATAACAAATGGCAAGAGGCTTACAGTTAATATAAATAGTAAGAAAAAAATTAAGCACTAAAAGACATAAAGCTGAAATGGGCTAGACTCATATTGCAGGCTAGCCATTAGCGGTTACAAGATCAGCTTTGTGCCAACCCTAATACAAATTAATGGAGCGCGTACGACCACTCTACAGATAATCTGGATAAAGTGTATTAAAAGACGCGTATCAATTATCGGAGTGTAGGACGTTGACAATTGGGACGCCACCGATGGGACCATGCAATTAGGGCTACCAACGCGTACATAATGAAATATAATTTTCGTTAATGCTAGTTTTGAAATAAATTGAACTTTGAATTTTGTGACGCAGTAAATAGGGATGTAAATCCATTTGTGGAATAAACTATCAAATGGTATATTTCTATTCTCAATAGTATTAATTTTAATATATTTCAAAAAAGAATCCTACTACTATTCCCTACTATCCCTTTAGTACTATTTTCCTGTATTCTCTCCTCATTTTCCTTCGTCATTCTCACCTGTTGTATGCGTGCTATTAAATATGTGTATGTGTATTTGTTTATATATATATATATACAATGTATAAATATATATATATATATTTTTAAAAGGTGAAATGGAATAGTAACCCCGCCTGCGCTAACGGAATACGTTGACGGAGCACCAGTGACAGTGAGGGTGACAGATGAGAATGAAAACAGGCCAGCTAGCCCATCACGATGAATTCATCGGGAATTAACCATGATAGTTTCCAGGGGAAACCGCGAGGACGTCGACCTGGGTGGGTAAATTGCTAGCAATGGGATTCTCAGTCTCCATTACTATCAATCCCTTTCCCCCCACATTGTATATATTAGTATCTATATAATATGGCGCCATCTACCATTTGTTTTTTTCTCAATGTCCTCCACCCAAAGGCTGTCTGGAAGAGATTGATTAATTATTTATATTAATTCTTTTATACATATATTAATTAAATTAATTATTTCACGAAACGAATCAGTTTTCTAATATTTTCTGTCTAAGTACTTGTTTTGATTATATTGAGTTTGAGATATATCATCATCTGGTATTGTTTTTTGAAAGTCTCGTTTTATTCGCTATTTAAAACTAGCGGCCCATCCCGGCTTCGCACGGGTGGACATTTTTACAACATTTTAAAAAGTGATTATTGTGACATAACAATAATAGTTGGACATATAGTATCGCGGAGTTTTTTGTAGTTATCGATATTTTCTTCAATATTGTAGAACATACTTTTGTTCTATCGCCAATAGTTTCCGCAGCGCACGCGACCAAAGATATTTTATAGCATTTTATTTACACCTTGAGTTACGTTACTAAAGTTTTAGTAAGGATCCCTAAACTTTTCTAGCAATAAATATAGTTACTCCTATGTTACTCAGGGTGAATGTAGCTTTCTAATGGTGTAAGAATTTTTGAAATCGGCAAAGTAGTTTTTGAGTTTATTCTTTACAAACATACGTACACACAAAAATACAAATCTTTCCTCTTTGTAATATTAGTTTAGATAAATACATATCAGGTTATTTATTATATTAAAAGCCTGGTGTCTGGTCAGAAGATTCTATTATTTGGTAACCCTATATGTAATTAAATGGGAGTGAATCGTAATAAACGTAACATGACGGTCATTAATCTTTCACAATGGACGTATTATATCCATACTAATGTAAGAAATGTAAAAATGAGTTTGTTTGTTTGTTTATCATAGCAGTCAACCAATCGTCATTAATTTTTTTTTATGCAACCTAGAATGGCAAACAAGCTGACGGCCCACCTGATGGAAAGTGATAACCGTCGCCTTTAGACATGAGCAGTACCATAGACATAACAGAGTATACTGTTTCGCCCATGATACTCCCCATGCGTTGCCATTCCTGAGGACTCAGGTGTTATTCCTCTGTACCCTGTAAATTCACGCCATATCCCACCCTTCAATCCGAAACAGCCATGCAAACACAACTGCTTCACGATTGAAACACGAATATTGCCATTCTAACTTGCATAAAAAAAAATATAAAAAAATGTTCAGTCGTGGTCAATGACCGGCAATCGTCTTATTAAAATTTAGTCAAACACATCAAGAACCAAGAAGTGCTAAGTGCTAATGTTATATAGAGGGGGGAAAGGAATTATTAGTAATGGGGTCTTACCGACCCATTGCTAGCAATACACCCTACCAGGTCGACCTCCATGCGGTTCCCTCCTGGAAACCATCGTGGTTAATTCTAGTGGAATTCGTCACGATGGGCTAACTGACTTGCTTTCATCGTCAGCTATCATCCCTCAGCTGGTGCCCCACCAGCGTATATCGATAGCGCAGGCGGGGTTACCATTCTGTTATCATCTATTAAAAATATATATTATACTTTATTATAAGGTAATCTACCTTATTTCCCTACAAATGTGCCTACAATTACAAATTGCCAATGTTATCTTAGCAATTGCTGAAATTCGGCAAAAACAAACTGAATGCGTACAGAAAGCAGACAGAAGCGGTTACTCCTAATAACGTTATTGTTACTACCAATTTGGATTACAACAGCTTTATCGGGAACATCGCGAAAGTATTCCATCTTTAATCCATTGTGATAAAGCTCAATTCGGAAAGTACTGGTGCACGGTCGCACACGCTCCACAATGCGCGGAACCACTTTATTAGATACTTTAATAAATGTGCCTCCGCCAGATCTCCCTGGAGCTCAATAACTCCCACAATATTCACGGGCGCCGATGCTGAGGATTAAAACATGCATTTCACTTTATTGGAATTTAGGTTCGAATCTTACGGAGTTGTCGGATTCTCATAAAAGATACCACTTCCAAATCACGAATTTATGACGCTATCCCAAGAACCTATATCTTTACAAATCAAATGCAAGTTGAAGGTCAACATATTTATTATTGTAAAACTGAATTCGTGTCTAGAGCATGTTTTATTAATACCATCTTACAAAGTTTTTTAAAACTTTTATTTTGAAATCAATACAAAAATAATTCCAAAATTATAATCTAAGCCAATACATACCAGCCCTGATTCTCGTATAGTCTGGTAGATTCTCAGTGGGCCCCACTGCGACAACGGCGGGACATCTATCATAAATATATCTTTCGACAGTTTCTTTTACATTCTGCTGGTTTATTGTCGATAAATCATAAGCAATATCTTGTATAGACTTCCTACCACACCGGTACATTGTCTGAATACCGAGATCATGACAAGAATTAATACTGCCCGTTACAGCTTTCGCTATCTCCAAATGCGCTAGCCTCGATCCTCTTTTGGCATCAAAAAATTGAGTTGAAATACATAAGTTCATCCAAGTGTTCTGAATGTTATAAATCATGTCCTCCAGTTTCATTCGGTCACATACAAAGTAACATCCCCACAGACCAATATCTCGGTAAGCAATATAAAATGACTCAAAGCTTTCGCAGAGATTACCGGTAGCTGCGGCTTGCGCCAAAGGCGACGCGTTATTTATGCCGCCTCCTTGACCTTTGTTCCACGATCCTACGACATAACTTGCCGCTAGCAGCGTCAAATATTCAGGACTGTTGTACCCGGGAGCTTCCACAGCTATGGCGACGTGAGCAAAGGGCATGGAATCATCCCGATAAATGACTTGAGAGCCAGTGAAACGACAAGGCCCCTCATCTGACTCGTAAGCTGAATGGCTAACCATATGTCCGAATCTTGCTAATGCAAAATCGACCATCTGACTGTGATCTAAACAACCTGAACTCACCAGAGCTAGCTTGTAAGGTTGATAATGTTGGCTCAAGAATGTCGCAGTGAAATGTCTGTCAAACCGTTGTATGTTCCTCGTGGGTCCGATGACGCGCTGCGACAAGGGAGTGCCTTGGAAAGCAGTTTGATGTAAGTAATCAAATACGACTTGTTTCGGATCGTTATCTGCATCCACCATCTCTAAACAAATATTGTACCTCTCAGCCTCTATTTCCTCTTCTAACAGTGCTAAATCGGTGATCACATTTGACAAGATATGTATGATATCCCCGGCATTCTCAACAAGGCACTTAGCAGAGAATATTTGTATTTCTCTAGTAGTATGAGCACCCAACTTTGCGCCCATTAACAGAAGTGATTCCTGCAGTTGACATTTTGTCATGGAATTAAACCCTTTGTATGCCATATGCTCTATAAAGTGAGTAATACCATTGTTACAGGCCGTTTCAAATCTTGGGCCGGCTTCGATGTAAAGTGAGATGGAAGCTAACGATGAATTTGTTTGCTCGGTGGCCACTCTCACGCCATTGGGCAATATACATAGCTGAGTATTTGATGGCAAATCCACAGGTGTGCAGTTAGCCCAGCAGTGCCTTACGCTAGCCTTAAGGACTTTGGATACCGATGGGAAAATATTTCTAAACATAATAAAATTATTAACAGGTCCAATTGATGTGCAGATAAACGTTTTATGACAGCTACTGTCAAATTTATTTTCTTATTCTAAGAACAAGTTCTTATTACCTGTTACAATAAAAGAAATATTTAGGAATAACAATAACAAAATTAAACAGAGAACCGAACCTGCTCTATCCACGTCAATGTACCTATATGTGTAATTCAATTATTATACATACAAATTTATATATATACATTTACTAGCTGACCCCGTAAACGTTGTTTTACCACTTATTGCGAAATATAAAAATCGCAATTAAAATACAGGGGTTGACCGTAAAACGATGAAAATTTAAAGTTGTATGTATTTTTCAATGCTAAATTATAATAAAATAAAAATAAAAAAAATTGTCAAAAAAATAAAAAAAAAATATTTTAAGGTGGGTCACCCTTATCATTGACGGGTATGAAAAATAGATGTTGGCCGATTCTCAGACCTACCCAATATGCACACAAAATTTCATGAAAATCGGTAAAGCCGTTTCGGAGGAATTTGGTAACAAACACCGTGGTACGAGAATTTTATATATAAGATGTAATTTATATTTATTTTTTCCTTCTTTTTCTAAAACACTCATAAACAAGAATAGCAAATTATATGACTTTTATATATAATATTAGTATAATACTATTGCCGTGTGGTCCCAGCATAGAATGAGCAATCCCTTCCTTTCCCGTGGGTGCCGTAAGAGGCGACTAAGAGAGCTTAATGATCGAGGGACGGGCAGCAGCGTCCCTCTTAAAATATCACCTTAAAACGGATAAAGAAGTTTCGTCAAGGTCGGCGAAGAGCGCGTAACGCCCCTAGTCTTGCTAGTGTTCATAGACTATTGTAACCGCCTACTATCAGGTGGGCCGTATGCTTTTATGCCACAGCAGTGGACACTTCACGGCGGATATAATAATAATAATAATAATAAATAAATCTTTTTATTTCATGTCATTGCGATAATACAATAATTTCTTTTTAATTAATTAAAATTTTTACATTATGATATAATACAAATAAATTGTTGTTTGAATCGAAGCATTTGGCGTTGCATTGTTTCTGCCTACCCTAATGGGAGACAGGCGTGACAGATATGTATGTTTGTATGTACAAATAAATATTACTGTCTTAAATATAATAGATCTACACATTTCGCCTTATCTGAAGACATGCAAATTTAGTATTACAATTTAGTGGCTTACGTATATTAATAGCCTAGTAGGAGTCAATCCATAAATATTGGCAGCCGCACACATACCAAAGGTAGCAGAACTAAACAAAAACAAATACACAACAAGTCAAAAACATAACAAATGTCATACAATACAACTGAATTACACATTTACATACATACATTTCATTTTTTAAAAAGTCATTTATTGAATAGAAATTGCTTTCCAGTAACCATTTTTTTTAAACTATCAAACTTATATTATTAAATTATACATTTATTAATAAAGTACCGATTAAAATCATTTTTTTATAATTTCCTTAGTCCTCAAGTACGTAGTTGGAATACTGTCTTAACAATAGGATTACTTGTTTACATTAATCTTTCATGAAATTTTGCTTTACATTTACGTAAAATAACAAAGAAGTCATTAACCCTGTTCTCTGCGAACATACCCTATAATAATGCTATTAATTGGGAGTAAGTAATGCGGACTACCAGTCCCATTGCTAGCAATATACCCAATCAGGTCGACCTCCACGTGGTCCCCCCTGGAGACCGTCGTGCTAAATTCCAGGTGTATTTCTCACAATGAGCTAACTTACCTGCTTTTTCATTTTCATTTATCATCACTCACTGGTGCCCCGCCGGTGTATACCGTTATCGCAGGCGGGGGTTACCATTCCATTATCATCCATTAAAAAAATGCTATTAATTTTAATATAGTCAATCTATCTATCCTATTTAAGAGCTGCGCTCTTGTCGGTGGAGCTTTTGCCACTCACTACGATTTTCAGCGAGTCTCTTCACCTTTTGATAGGACACGACACCAACTCCTTCCTTGATCTGCCTGATGTAACTATGTCTCGGTCTCCCTCTCCCCCTCCTTCCTTCTATTACAATGTTCATAAGTTCGTCGTGTCGTATCAAGTGTCCCAACATTTTTCCCCTTCTGTCCTCAATAGTTCTAATAATATAGTAGTTTAATATAGTACATTTGGAAATTATGTGTCGAAAATAAATTATAATTTTGTATTTATTTGTGAACGTAAACATATGTAATAGCTACGTGAGAGAGGCAAAAGTAATTCTCTTTATAGTTGTCGTACGTATTGCTTTCGCAAACAATACTGTTTACCACCAATTAGTATGTTTGCTGAGGATTACTTGACTGAACAAGCTTAATCCCGCTGAACAACCGCAGAATTATTGTATTAAATTTGTGTGATTACAGTTATTTCTGTTACTTCATTACTCCTTAGACACTTTTAAATCATATATGTATCGTATCACAATCCAATTGTCCGCATGTGTAGAAAATATAACAATGTATGCAAGGAGCTTGATATCTTCCAACAATCCTTGCAATGTTACATTAAGGCTGCCAATTTGTTACTTTAAATCTATAGCCGTTATTTATTTTAATGTTTCTAATATTAAATGTTATGCATAGCAGTTATTGGAGTGCAAATTTAATGCTGTTTTATGTAATATTTAATTTACTAATGTATTATTTTGTAATCTGTTACCTTTCTGTAAATAAATTATATATATATATATATATATATATATATATATATATATATATATATATATATATATATATATATATATATATATATATATATATATATATATTATATATATATATATATATATATATATATATATATATATATATATATTGAATATTGTTATATGGTTGGGTTTAAATTTATAGTTAGTTCATGTTACAGTAGTAACTAAACTTTATTTTACAAAATATACGACAGCACCTACACAAGGGTTAAAAAAGTTATAATAAAAAAAAACAAAACTAAATACATAGCAAACAAAAATGCTTATTACAGCAGTTTCAGCTGGAATGGCTGTGTGCGTGCGTCGCATTATTTGTCAAATGAGGTCCGTGCTCAGCATTACGGTGTAAGGCCAGGGACGCTACAGCGCTGATTTTCAGCACGAGCCTCGCCAACTGGCAGGGTCCTAATAATAAAAATAAGGTACTTTGATAAATAAAGTAATATTATAACAATAATCTAATCAGTCTCCACAATATATGAACAGTGTATTCCTAAAAAAATGGTGATCTGACTATATATATTTTTTTATACAACTTAGAATGGCAAACAAGCTGACGGCCCACCTGATGGAGAGTGGTAACCGTCGCCTATAGACATGAGCAGTACCATGGACATAACAGAGTGTACTGTTTCGCCCATGATACCCCGCATGCGTTGCCATTCCTGAGGACTCAGGTGTTATTTCTCTGTACCCAGTAAATTCACGCCATATCCCACCCTTCAAACCGAAACACAGCCATGCAAACACAGCTGCTTCACGGTTGAAACACGAATGGGGCAGAGGTGCCCAAGCAATCGACTTTTGTACAAAATCTCCCTCTGGTGTATATTTGTAGAATGTCTTCTCAAATTCAAAAACAATTTTATTAATACTTTTTAGAATCGTTACAGTTTACACTCATACTGGTCGCATTTTCGTATTGTCATAACTAAACTGCTATATATATATATATATATATATATATATATATATATATATATATATATATATATATATATATACGAGGTCTGTCCGGAAAGTTCGTATAAAAGTGTTCTGGAATGCGAGAAAGAGGAGTGGGGAGGCCAGGTAAGCGCAGGACCCCTTCCTTATGTCCCTAACAATGCTTCAGTTCTGGTCTGACCGCCGTGCGGTGCGAACTGGCTTGTCACGCCATCTGTGAAGTTACCTCTTAACGAAACCCCGTCGGCATGGAGCCCGCTTCCGTTGAAGAGCAGCGCGTCGTAATCAAGTTTCTCTCGAAACTCGGCAAGAATGGCCGTGAAATTTTTGCCGATCTCAGAACAGTTTATGGGGATGATGCTGTGAAGGAACCAACCGTCCACAAGTGGCTAAAAAGATTCAGAGAGGGCCGAGAAAGAGTTCGATGTTCGGGGGATTGTCCATCAAGAATTCGTCCCTCCAGGCCAGACAGTTGATGGAAAATTCTACGTCGATGTGCTCAGACGCCTCAAAGCTCGTGTGGCACGAGTTCGTCCAGAATTGGCGCGAGAGGGGCGTTGGATTCTTCACCACGACAATGCCCCTGCCCACACCTCTCTTGTTGTCCGTGAGTTTTTGAGTAAAAATTCCATTACGGTGACCGAACACCCCCCCTATTCGCCGGATTTGGCCCCGTGTGACTTCTTCTTGTTCCCAAAAACCAAATTGGTACTTCGGGGGCGGCATTTGGGGGACATAAATGAGATAAAAAAAGCTACGACGGGGCAGCTGAGAAACCTACAACCAGAGGACTTTCAAGGAGCCTTCTCACAGTGGAAACGGCGTTGGCACAAGTGCATTATGTCACAGGGGGAGTACTTTGAAGGGGATAAAATTGATTTACCTGAATAATTGTAAAATAAAATTTTTAAAAAACTTTTATACGTACTTTCCGGACAAACCTCGTATATATATATATATATATATATATATATATATATATATATATATATATATATATATATATATATATATATATATATATATATATATATATATATATATATATATATATATATATATATATATATATATATATATATATATATATATATATATATATATATATATATATATATATATATATATATATATATATATATATATATATATATATATATATATATATATATATATATATATATATATATATATATATATATATATATATATATATATATATATATATATATATATATATATATATATATATATATATATATATATATATATATATATATATATATATATATATATATATATATATATATATATATATAT